AAACACTAGACACATGTGTTTTCCTATTTTTTTTAATTTATTAAATATATGTATTAATTTAAAAACAAAAAAACATTTGTTTCTGAATTATGAATTATTAAAATAATTAAACATGAAGTAGGTTTTAAAAATGAGAGAAACTGAAAAAAAAAACATGTAAATGAAAAAACAAATAAAAAATGATATTTATTTATCATTTTATATTTAAAGGTGACATACAATTAATTTAAGTGAAAAAAAATATAACATAAATATAAATTATATATTTTATCTGTGTAATGATTTAAAAAAATGATTATAGAAGAGATTCTTTCTTACATATAATTAGAAATAAGAAAATGCATTGGAACTGAATTTTAATCGCCACTTCCTTTTTCTTTTATCTTTTAATACATATGAATGCGTAATTTAATTATTTTTAAAATTCAACAAAATAATTTTTAAGCGATTTTCAATTTCTTGAACTGATTTGTTTAGTTTGATTTCCATCATCTCTAATAATCCTAATAACTTGTATTAAGTATTTTATATTTATCAGAATCAATATATTTTCAGAAAGAATTAAAATATAAATAATATATAAGCAGAACATATGTTGTGGAAAAGAATGGGGGTGTCTAAATAATACCTTTTAGACATTGAAAAATATAACATTATTTTATATTATTCCTCAAAAATACATTATGAGTAAAAATGCTGCTGTTCGACCTGTTGGGCCGCAGCAGATAGAAATTTTCGTCCTGCCTCGAGAAAGTGTTTGGCAAAGCATCGCAAAACCCTGGCCTACTCTCTTCACTCGTCTTCTACAGTCAGGTGCAAACTCATACTATTGATTTCCATCCACCACTGATCCATTTTCTCTAAATTATCTTTCATGTATTGCTCTCGCTTCATGGATTCCCGTTTGCGTGATTTGAAATTTATTTATAAATTGCTTTCTTTAATTTGAGTTTACGGTGAGGTGTATCGTTATCTGTTACTGCATTTATGACTTCATTCCGGAATTATTTCCTTTTACGTGACTTGGAATTTGTGGTGTATATTTTGTTCTTGATTTGGGTTGGGTCGCTAGCTTTGGCTGAATTTATAATTTTGTGAGGCAAGTTTGTGGCTTGTTTGGTAAATTAGCGTAGGGGTTTAACAAATGCCATGTTGGATTTGTTCATTAACATACACTTTTCATTTGTTATGTTCCTTAATCTTCTTCATCTGAAATTTTGACCTTGGAAAGTTATATACTGTTTTAAATCATCGACTTTTTGGTGGATCTTATGTTGAATTTAACTTTGTTTTATTCGGTGTTTGCTTATTAGGGTTCTTAATTTGAACCAGCAATTCTAAATCCCGTGATTGGGCTTAACTTCAAATGAACTTGTTAGCAATTAGAATTAAGTAAAGGAATTGTATCGAGCCATTTATGTTTTTGAAAAATGATTGTTCTTTTTTTTACTTGTGGTACTTTTGAGCCCTGTAATGCATGCCAGGTTGAGATTATATCATGGGATCAATGGTAGGTAACTACCTGTATTTGATAACGAAAGTGAAGGAGTTTTAAAATTTTCATTGGTTGTAGGTACATTAATTAAGATAGTACTTCTGAACTGCGGTTGAGGTTATGGAACGTCAGGGTCATGATTATGCAGCTGCATCTGCTATGGCGTATGCTCAGCAACAGAGGCAAGCTGCTAATATGCAACAACAACAACAGCAGTTTGGATTTCATCCCCAGCATCAGCAGTTTCCTTCATCAATTCACGGCCCTCCTTTTATTCCCTCAGGTCCTGGTCCTGCACACCCACCTATGCAACAATTCCCGTATCATCATGCCTTGCAGCAGCAGCAGCCACTTCCACAATTACATCCTCATGCCCCTCCCCCGCCTCATCTTCTTCTTCAGCAGCAGCACCAAGGACCACCTGCATTTCCTTCACATTATCCTCCTCCTCTTGTTCCATCTCCGTTTTATGATTCTGCCCCACCCCCAGTTGCCCCTCCTTCTGATCCCGACCTCCACAAGCGAATTGACAAGCTTGTTGAGTATGCAGTGAAAAACGGCCCTGATTTTGAAGCTATGATATGTGAAAAGCAACGTGATAATCCTTCCTATAGTTTCCTCTTTGGTGGGGAAGGCCATGGTTACTATCGTTATAAGCTTTGGTTATCTACTCGTCCCCCGGGTGGTCCATTCAACCCACCTTTTCCAACATCTTCCATGCCCATGATCCATCCCCCTCCGAATCCATTGATGAATCCATCTCCTCTAAATGCTTCTCCAATGAATCCTGCAGGAATAGGGTCTTCACCTTCAATGCTAGGTCCACCCCCTTTCCAACAGTTCTATGATCAACAACACCACCATCAACATCCTCAATCTTTTGGGCTTTCTGGTCGGCCTGAGTATGATCAGTCATCCAAGTCTTTCAAAGGACCCTCTGGGCCACTTCCATCTGATGTCGCAATGGAGCTCAGTAATGTTCTGAACAATCTGAATGGTACAAAAGAATCCATCAAAGGTGCAAAACTTTGGTTCATGCAGAGATCTCCATTTGCACCGGCCCTAGCAGAGGCTCTTAGAGATAGGGTCTTTGCGTTGGATGAAGTTGAGAGACAGTTACATATAATATACCTTGCCAATGACATCCTTTTTGACAGGTAGCACAACTTATCATTGTAGCGTTGAGCTTATTCTTTTTCCCCCTATAACTTCAGAAACATAATATGATTGATTAGCACATGATAAACTCTTAGTAAAGTGCATCTAATAATAAGAAAGTATGGATCCAGCATGTGTACACATTATTTTCCCTTTCTGTTGTCATGTCAAAATAATCTTGGTTATTAGTGGACTTTTTTGCATGTTTTTGGCACAACTAGACCTTTTCCCTCTTGCTTATTCTCATCCTGGTTAGATAATCTTCTTGACATTGATGCTAGAGTGGATGATTCTACTTTTCATCATCATTGACTTTTGTATCACTACTTCACAGTTTGAACAGGAGAACAAACGGCAATGACCTTGACAGTGAAGCTCTTGCCTTGAAACCTGTTTTAGGCTCTATGCTTGCAAGAATTTATCATAACCCACAAAGCAATGAGGAGTACAGAAAAAGATTGCAGCAAATGGTGGAGTTCTGGGCCTCTAAAAAGGTATACGATCAAGAGACTATATCTTTACTAAAGGGTGAGATGATTGGTGGGCCACAAACAAATTCTTTTCCTGGGGCTTCAAAGGATTTAGCTTCTACAGAATCAGTTGCAGGTAAGCTTCACTTTTTTAATCAGAATGTTTCATAGCTTGCAGAATTCAGTGAATTTCTTCTCTCGAGATCTGGACATTTTCCTATATGCGGCATTATTTGGTTTGAAAATGCCCTTTTTCCCCATGGGGAATAAAAACCACAACAATGTCTGTCTTGCCTTAAGGAATATCACTTCCTCAACTGATTTTTAGGAGAGTGAAGGGGTTGATTTAAATAAAATCTGTTGTAACTGCTGTACATTTATCTATTCAAACATTGCAAGCTAATGCGGTGTTTTTTCTCGCATGTTTTTCATTCAGTTTTGTAATAAATGACTAAGCAGGAAGTTGTGAATAATGGTCACTCACACTGGCCAACAATGAACTTCAGACAACTTAGTTTAGTTCTTTTAAAATTTCTTTGATGCTAACAAGAGATTTATTACTTCAGGGTTTAGTATATATATTATTTGATTTAAGAAATTATTGATGATTTTTCCTCCTCTCCCTCCCTTTTGCAGGAATTTTGCCTACACCTAACCATGTTGCCCAACAGTGGCAAGCTGATAGGTTAGGCTCTAGTTCAAATGTCTTAGATCAAGATCGTACTGACAAACATGCAGCCCCAGCACAATCACTATCTGTGCCTCTAGCAGCTCAGCAGTTTCTTCCAAATCCTGCTCCTCTTAGTGCCTTTCCTGGGTCCATGGCTATACCATCTTCTGTTCAACCTGCTAACCAAGCACCTGGTGGTGCTCATTTATTGCCCCCTCCATCATCCAGCACTGGTGAACAATTGCCACCATATCCATTATTCCCACCTGGCCTCATTCCTGGAATGGTTAGAAAGATGCAGATAGGTAGTGGGGTCCCATATTCTCCTTTGAGCCCTTTGGATATCCCTACCATCATACCACCATCAACGGTGCCCCCATCAGAAATTCTTCAAAGAGTGTCCAAATTTTTTAAGGAAATTGGAGAGGTAAATCCTTCTGAGGGCCCTATGAATTCTGATTCAAGGGATGAAGATGATGACTATGAAAGAGAATATGACAGAGAGCCTGCAGTACGAAAGGGAGGTGCTTGCATACCTCCACCCCCAAATTTGCAGGTTGATCCAGAGACAGGGACCTATGCTGATGGGACTGTAGAACGGAAACCAGGATCCAGTGGCTCGGGCAGGTTGGGGCTTGGGGCCACTGCTAATCCCAACGAGGTGAGTCAGTATGATGATGTATATACATCTTACAGGAAGCAGAGAAGCACCAATTACCATTCATCAATGAGTGCCAGAGCTGCAGCTAGATGAAATTACCTTTTCGTCCAAAGTTTTGGATTCGTGTATGTTAGAATTGGTCTGTCAGCTTTGTCTTTATTAACTTTTCTTTAAAAGTCTGTAGTTAAGCTGATGTCTTTGTTATGTTGTGCCAATGGATTCATGGATGATTTATTGTTCGTTGATCAAAACTGAATATCCCAAAATCTTTCAAGTCACACATGGTAATGGGTTAAAAATGAATGATAATCCCATTCTCTTCTTTTCATTAGTTTTATTTTGGTGTATGGTTTAACGGAGTTTTTTTCTCGACTCCCTGTATTCATTCTAGCCTAGCCTAGCCTCTCTTTTTTTTTTTCAATTGTTTGATTGAGCGTGTTTATCAAGAAAGAATTTAAAAAGGGGGTGCGGTCGTTATAACATCACTTTCCTCAGTAATTTACTTTGTGGCATGAATTCTGCATCACATATTTCCTCATAGTGAGACTATGCCTTCATGACCATGATCAAGGGCGGCGATAAATTAGTGAATTGAACTGCGAAGTTTGATGGTGTTGGCTCAGCAACATACTCAACTTGGGCTGAAAAATTAGTAAAGTTGACAAAAAATGAGGAAAATCACTCAGACTTGACCTGAAACTGACAAGCTAACAGCAACAGCAAATTGCTTAACGTTTATGGGAGCCACGTCGTTTCTGTTTTGTTCTGTGTGGTTCTGGCTGTGGAGGTCAGCCACTTGGCTGGGACACATTGAAAAGCATGTCACTTGCAATAATCTTAAGTGAATCTTATCTACCTAGGCTGCCCTCGCGTAACGCCATGCAGTCATTTTCTTGAACTATATGAGTATCGTACATGTTCATCATATCATGGACTAACGGCGAAGGTTTATCAGATCGCACCAAAAAACGCCATAATTCTGCCAGCCACTCGACTCAGCCCCATTCGGTTAGCGGATAAGATAACCCCAGTTAACTGGCACGTAGCAAATCAGAATTCCGTTAAATAGCTTCAAATCTTAAAAGTCCCCACGTGGAGAGTTGTGTTTCGACTTTGGAGAATCTTAGGGAACACCCTGGGTCTCCCCTATGTTCCTCTGCCCAAAGAAAAGCATTTTATAATGATTGCTTCTTCATCTACCATTAGCACATCTCTTTTCCTTCTTTTTCCCCCTGGAGACATAATGGATGCTCTCAACAGCTAATGCTCTCCCCACTCACACAAGCGTGGACATCCACTCTCTTTATACCATGGATCTCCTAGTGGAAGAGAGACAAGACATTGATTCTCATTCTTTTTTTCACACCAGACAGATTAATTTTCAAAATTTTAAATCAAAAGAGAAAGCCAAGAGCTTTCATGTCTGCTTCTGCAGCACCTTTTTTGTTGATTAATAGCCACAATTTGGGTTATATTCTTAGTATCTATATATAAAATAAACGTCGCCCATCCAAGGTTGGTCCAATTAATAAGAATACATAGTATATCTTGTAAAAGACGAATTCACATTTCATTGCTTCATTGGTAAGTACAGATATTTTTTTAATGTATTTTTGACCCTAATAACTTTTTAACTTCTTTTCAAAAGTATATATACCATTATTATAAAAAAAGATGTTCTAGACAAGGGCTGCTGCTTAGGCGAACTTGGATTGTTCTGGGGACAAATTGACATTGTGACTCAAACCTCCACCGTGCATGGATCCACACACAGTACACCCTCCTCCCTCACTGTCATCCACCTCTCCCATGCCTTATAATAATCACAGAAACGTATCCCTTTCCCTACACAAAAAGATCACCATCATATCATATCTCATATAAAAAGCCACACGAAGTAGTATTAAATAATAACAGCAATAATAATAATAACAATAATATAATAAGAATCATAAGTAAAGAACTCAACTCATTTTTACATTTTTCTCTCTTAAACAGAGCCTGCTCTGTTTCTTCTTCTTCGTCTTCACGATGATGCCTAAACCCATGAACGTTCTGACAACAAAGCCCTCACCTTTGAGCACCATGGTGATGGTGCTGATCCTCTGCATTCTGGGTTTCTACGCTCTGCATTTCCCTCACTCTTCAACACGTTCCTCCTCCTCCCAAAACCTCTCTCACGTGGATACCCTTTTTCTCTCTACTTCCTCAAATTTCACTATTTCCTCCTACCTCCGCGCCCTCACCGTGCACCCTCACCTCGCTGGAACAAAACCCGCCTCTGACACCGCTCGCTACGTTCTCAACCACTTCTCTTCATTGGGTCTTGAGGCCCACACCGCGACCTACACCACCCTCCTCTCCTTCCCGTTGCGTTCCTCCCTCTCGGCACATTTTAGCGACGGCTCCTCGGCGAGCCTCCGACTTACGGAGCCGGCCGCCGCCGGCGTGGTTCCGTCCTACCACGCATACTCGCCGTCGGGTGCAGTGTACGCGCGCGCAGTGTTCGTGAACTACGGGCGGGAGAGGGACTACCGAGCGCTGGGCACGATGGGAGTGAACGTGAGCGGGTGCGTGGTGGTGGTGCGGAAGGGCGGGGCGATTGGGCGCGGCGCGATAGTGGAGAGAGCGGAGGCGCACGGGGCGGCGGCGGTGCTGGTTTACGGCGAGGGCGACACGTGGCGGAAGGGGTTTGAGAGGGGGCACGTGATGAGGGGTGGAATAGGGGACCCACTTACTCCTGGTTGGGCTGGGGTTGAGGGTGGTGAGACATTGGGATTGGAAGATAGTGAGGTTTTGAAAAGGTTCCCCAAAATTCCATCCATGCCCTTGTCAGCCGAAGTGGCTGACACTATTTTGTCGTCTCTTGGGGGTGTTCCTGTGCCCCATGAATGGAGGGGCACCCTAAGGTCTAAGGTCAGGCATGTTGGTCCTGGCCCCACCATTCTCAATTTCACTTACCAGGTGAGTTGAACGTAGTGTTGTGTAGCATCTTTCTCAACCTAAAAGCCTAATTTATGCTCTTCAATGTTCTTGGCTTTGAGAAGTGGCTTTCTTTTGCTTCTTGACATTCTAATTTTTTGTCAGTAAAAGTTGTTGGCCCCTCCTGTACTTCCTGAAACAAACCAAACATTTCTTCAAACACTAGTTTGTACTAAACAAAGATAACAAGTAGGAGCTAAGGTAAGCAAATTTGAAAGTTTTTTCTTTTCACTTTGGTTTAGCCAAAAAACTTTTCAAATGTGAAAAATTTGGTAGACAAGACATTCTTGAAGCGAACCATGCCATGCTTGTTGGCTTTTTCTCCTTCCATTTTATAGGGGAACCTTCAAATTTTTCAAATACACTTTATCATCAGTTGAAATTTATTGGAAAGGATAAAAATGAGTTAGTGTCAGTTTTTGTTTTATGATTTTCACTTACAGAGTATCAGAAGTGTTTTAAAGATTGTGTTGGACTCTTCTCTTGTACGTTTTTGTTCAGCTTTTCATATGCATTTATAATATCCGAGTTGATGAAAGGAAGTGAGAAGTTGAAAAGGGAAAGGGGAACGGTTAAGCTGAAGGTTATGATCGTGTGTGGGGTGTATGTTTTTATCGATTTTCGTTTTTTCAGGGTGAAAAGAAAGTGGCCACCATTCAAAATGTTTTTGCTGTCATAAAGGGATCAGAAGAACCTGATCGATATGTATTGCTTGGGAACCATAGAGATGCATGGACATATGGTGCTGTTGATCCCAGCAGTGGGACAGCTGCACTACTCGACATTGCTCGTCGGTTTTCTGTTCTATTGGGCTTGGGGTGGAAGCCAAGGAGGACAATCATTCTCTGCAGTTGGGATGCAGAAGAATTTGGGATGGTAGGTTGAATTCCTTCTTAACAACTGATATGAATTGTATTTCCAGGGATGATGGAACATGGATAAGGTTTATGGTTCTTTAATTTTTTTTCATTTTTGTTAATATCTGCTCAAACAGCTTTCATAGTGATATGGTCTCTGTGGTTGTTGATAAGCTACTAACAAACAATTTTGGACATTTAGTGCGAATCAATACTATTGTATGTTTTCTTTGCCCAAATAAAAATTAAATGTCTTTGGGTTGCTGTTGCAAAATTCTTCTTGATACTGATTACAATTTTCTTCTCGGTTTTCTACAACGTGTTGTCAGTTGCCTTCTTCAACATTCACAGTATCAAATTAGACGAGTTTGCGTTATTTCAATATGATGTTGTCACTTCCTGTAATATTCTCTCTAAATCAAGTTTATCTGCTTGTGTAGATAGGATCTACTGAATGGGTTGAACAGAACCTTATTAATCTGGGTTCCAAAGCTGTAGCATACCTTAATGTGGACTGCGCTGTGCAAGGCCCTGGTTTCTTTGTTGGTTCAACTCCTCAGCTAGACAGTCTTATTCTTGAGGTCACAAAAATGGTATTTATTTGAAGTTATTATCATTTATTAATGCATGTGCAAACATACATGTAGATAATTTTGAACATCAACCAGCTTTTTCGTTAACTTCAGGTCAAGGATCCTGACTCTGAGGGTGTATCACTATATGAGAATTGGGCTGCTGCGGCTGGTGGTGGAAGCAATAATGTAATGCTTTTTATCACTGTTGGTCAAGTATTTGTTTGCACTTGCCAAAATATATGTTTGGTCTGATATAATTGTTCTGATGTTCCAGAGAACTATGATCTCTTGATTATCTCTATTGCTTTCACCAGATCCTGCTGTTCCTCATTATCTGATAGCAACTGACCAAACTTGTCTTGGCTTTTGGTCTGCTATATAGCTCAAATTAGTTTAAGAATGGATACTTATAATTGGGTTTGAGGAGTTGCATGAGTTTTGGCAACTCTAGCATGTGAAGATAAAACTGACTTTATAGGAGACTGACATTTTTTTTGTTTTCCCTAGATGACAGATTTATTTTATTAGTAGGATATGATATCTGACTTTCTAGTAATGAAGACACTTAAATATTATAGTTGTATTATGATAATATGGGTTTTTTCCATGCTTTTTCCGACGTGGGTTTCAGTTCTGTTGTGATATCCTCATTGCTTAGCACCCTTCGTTTTGTTGGATTACAGATTCAGAGGCTCAGTGGAGTTGATTCTGATTTTGCTCCATTTGTGCAACACGCAGGGGTTCCATCCATTGATATGTATTATGGAAGAGGTACGTACCTTATCAGTAGAAGGTTCTATCTGATTTATTTATGTAAAGTCTTGCTGTGCAAGCCAAGGCCAGTTGTTCACTTTATATAGACTTTTACTTTGGTTATACTATTTGAAAAAATATTTTCGGGATTTAAGAACCTAGTCCGAGATGTTAAATAGTCTATATAGTTTATGGTGAGATTGCCAGAAGTAAAATGACTTTCATGAAGAGGGCATGGGATTATGTCATGTTATTTGATTAGTGTTTCTCATCTTAAGTATGACTTTGCACTTAAGTGTTCTGTGATCCTTGCGTTTTCGACTTTTTTAGATTATTCATCATTTAGGATTAGTAATTAAAATCTAATGTAAGTCGTCTAGGGGCCATAAATATAACAACGATCACTCTCCAGTCCCAGATTCTTTCAGCATATACAAAATTAAATGATTTCTAGTCCAATATGCTTCTAATAAATATGCCATATATCCATAGACTTGGATATCTAATTTGTGATGTAATAATCTATTTCCGATTCTCAGATTTTCCTGTCTATCATACTGCGTTCGACTCATATAACTGGATGGCAGAGTATGGAGATCCATTCTTCCACCGCCATGTTGCTGGTTAGACTTCTCTTTTTAACTGCATCATATGGTGTACAAATTTGTATTTTTAGTTAACTGTTAATCCATGTAGCAGTCATTAAATGTAACTTTTCTGTTCTTTGTTTGTACTAGTTACTGGAGTTTGGGGGCTTCTAGCCCTTCACTTGGCTGGTGATCCCATTCTTCCTTTCAATTACGTTTCATATGCAAATGAGTTACAGGTGAGCATTTATATTTACTTCTCATTGGAACTAACTGATTGTTATCTGACATTTTTTCTTGATAAACACAAAAAATATTTTAAATTGAAGTTTCATGAATTCCAATAAATTGTTCTTTTTTTAATCTAAAACACGTTGGTTTTTATTTAATAAAAAAGAGAAGACGATTAACAAAAACAGTGGGAATGCATTGAAGCATGTTTTTGTAATATTGATGTTAGTTGGCACCATATGTTGGTTGCAGATCATTTATATATTGATTATATAATCTTTCCTGTTTTGGGCAGTTGTACAAAAACATTTTGAGTAACTTGATAGACCAGAAAATTTCTCTACATCCATTAATTCTTTCGATTGAAGAATTTGCTTCTGCTGCCAAAGAAGCTGATGATGAATTGAAGGTAGGGTTTCATTTAATGATACATCTTCTTATGCAGTAAACACTGAAATTTGTTCCTTATTACCATATATTTATGCTTGTCTTTCTTTGTTTTGAAATGCAGAAACTGAGATTGCAAGAAACAGAAGGTTGTTTTGTAGATATGAAAAAGCGAGCATTGAATGATAGACTAATGCTTGCTGAAAAAGGGTTCTTGGATGGAGATGGACTTCAAGGAAGGCAATGGTTCAAGCATCTCGTGAGTGTGTCTGTTAATTACTAGGATAATGTGACTATTGTATTTTGTAAATGAAAACATATGCTTCTTACTGGAAAACCTGACATTTTCTGTTATACATAGGTGTTTGGGCCTTCAAGCGACCATGAAAAGCTCAATTTTTTCCCCGGGATTTCTGATTCTATTACGAGTTCTGCGGGTGTAACTGAAAGAGAAAGGCTAGCATCAATTCAACATGAGATCTGGAGGGTTGCCAGAGCCATTCGTAGAGCTGCTTCTGCACTCACAGGAGAATTCACCTAAAACCTAATGCACGCGCACACTCACATTCACTCACAAAAATCATGAAGTTAGAGGAGATGGATGAAACCGTATACGTTTTGAGTGTAAATACACTAGTGTTTCTTTCTATTTATTACACGAGCAGAGTAGTTTGTTGCATTTTGAGGTATATAACAGTACATTAAAGAGCAGATCGATAGATATGCCACTACCAGCAGTTTGGTGAGATGTACACAGTTATAGCAGATTGTGTATTTATAATGAATCATCTGCAAAAATTTTCTACATCAAGGAATTTGGCTACGAATTGTAATGGAAAAGAGCTTAATGAATCTAATATTTGCTATTTGTCAATAAAATATTGGTAATGAAATTCAAAAAAAAAAAAAAAAAGAAAGTAAAAGCTAATAATAAATAGAACAAAAAAAAATCGAAAAAAAAAGTAAAAAGCTAATAATAAATAGAACCAAAAAAACTGAAAAAAAATGTAAAAGCTAATAATAAATAGAACCCAAAAAATTGAAAAGGGAGAGAGAGTAAAATAAATTGAGTAAAATACTAATAATAAATATTGAATTGAAAAAATAGAAAAAAGTTGAAATTTTAAAAATAAATTAACTGAAGGTTGAGTAAAAAATAGAATAAAATAAATATTGAAAAAATAGAAAAATAAAAAACGCCGCGCCAGGTAGGGGTCGAACCTACGACCTTCTGCTTAGGAAACAGACGCTCTATCCACTGAGCTACAAGCGCTTAATGAGATGTTATTATGCATAAATATTATAATAAAAAGTATACGGTAAAATACATATTCTTACAATATATCCCGCCTACTTTCCAACCAAAAATTTGAAATGATGGCAATGGAAATGCAATTGGGAGAGAGGAAGAAGACGATGACGGAAGATCCGATTTCCAGCTTCTGCAACGCATTGGCTGCTTTCTGCAACCACCTTCACTCCTCTTCCGATGCCATCAAGCAATCCATCGATCGCCGACCTATTCCTCTCGGTACTCTTCTCTCTTTTTCTAAGTCCTGTGTCTAGTTGCTCAGGAAATTGAATTCAAAGTCTTCCATGATCGTGACAGGTTCCGCCTCGTCAATCTTCATGCAATGCCTCAATCGCCGCCTATCCACCGCCAGCGCCGATCTAGATATGCTCGATTCCATGTCCTTTGGCACTGTCTCTTTCGAAGAGCTCCTAGGTCACTGCAATGAATTGTACAAGAAGAACAACTCCGATCTGCTTCAATTCCAAGAGCGTCTTCAGAGCCACGGTTACACTCCTGGTACTTCCAAAATAAATAAATAGTTAAAACATCTAATCTAACCACTTTCTGCTTCATAATTTTCTGTTCTCGTTAAATTTAATTTTATTGTTTCAGTTCCGGATATTGAGGAGGACGAAGCCGAGGATATGCAACATAAAGATCCGGAAGACAAGTTGGATAGTCCGTCTTCTTTCTATGGATCACTCTCCGTGGCCGATTCTAACTTCAAAAGTTTAGAAGAAGATGCTTTGTATCCTTATCTTACGCCTCATTTACTTTCTTCTACTAAATCTGATATTAATACGATTTACAGCTTCTAAACAGATTTCATATGGAATGAAAAACAGAAGAAAAAGGATTTGATCAGAATCAGCCGAAGAAGTACTGTAATTAGATTGATTTTAGGCTCTGATTCTCATGCGATTGTCTTTCAATTTTTCATTCATTTTATGTATTTTGGTACTTTTATTTCTAGAAACTTGTTTGTAAGGCTCTGAAAAAAGGTTAACTATCAATATGATAATGGTTTAGTTGAGTCTTTGATCAGTTTTGTTCATTATTATGACAATAGCTTTTCACATCCCTTAATTCTCTTCAGACTTGATGAATCTTTGAGTTTGAAAAAGTTTGGGCTGTCAGATGCATATCTAGCTACCTTAGCATCTGAAGGTTAGTGAATGCCACTTGTCTCCATAAGCATGATTGGTGGGTAATTTGGAAGGATTCCATTTCCATGCTTTGATGTAGTTGCAAATATTTTTTATTGTTGAACTTATCCATTTTTCCCAGTTACAGTACATGAATTGTTGATTACATGAAAACTAGCCTTAGCTTCTCAAATTATTTGTTCGTTGCTAATTCGCTTTTCTTACCACTATCTTTTCGTCTACGCATGCAGGTGATTTGTCATCAGATGAACCGGAGAAGTAAGTTCAAAATTATTGTTATCATTTAATTGTTGTGGGATTTTCTGCATTCCTATTGATAATTCCTACATGATTCTCATTCCCCAAGCTTATGGGTGAACAGATTACAAGAATTTAGGCAGCATGATCAACCTGTTGCGGACATAACGGTATCATCTGAAGGAAGCAAGTTCTTACCTTATGGTAATTGAATAATTTCTTGTTTCACTTGTTTAACCTTCAGCAAATGAAGTTTTTATTATTATTATTATTATTATTTTTTTTTCTTTTTACCCGAAATACAATTTAGTATCAGAGAAGGAGAATTTAAAGTCAGCTGAAGTTCCGAGCCCCAGGTTTCAGATATTGAAGAGCGAATTTGAAAATCTTCCTGCTTACATGAAGGGTCTAGCGTCATGGGAGGTGAGGTATTTTATGTGGTGTTTTTGAGATAGCTGTAAAAGTTATTGTTATAATGGATTATAATTAGAATAATTTTTCAGATAAATTTGTTGTTAAAGTGATTTTAAAATAATTATTTTTATATAAGAAAAAAATTGTTAGAAAATAATCAAAAGATAAAAAATTTCATATTCGAAAAATTAACTAATTTTTTAGAAAACAAAAAGCTTAGTTACAAATGTTATTGTTTTAAACATATAACTAAAAGTACAAATAATTTTTTTATTCTAAAATCAGCTGAAATCCTTAATTTTACTATTTTCTAAACATGCTCGCACGATTATACACTAAGGATGTTGATTCTTCCACATGAATGTCATTTTTCACAAGAAATCTTAGTAAAATGTGTCTTACTGTATCACTTACAATAGATGCACATTACGTAAAAGGCACAAACTTATATCAAGTATCTTGCCATATTTCTTGGTGCTTTGCAGGGAAGAGCAATATGCTTCTTTATTTTACTTTATTATATAGTTTTCATCTTCGGAAGCTTATTCAGCTTTTAGATTCTAGATATTGACAAAATACTACTACGGTCTAAGGTCTGATGTTCAGTTATGTATCTAACCTATGCCATTGTTTCCCTTGGTTTTGGTTAAGCTACAAAATATAAGTCAAGGATAATTTGACTTGACAATCACGTGTGCATAAGAAATTTCTTATCAACCCAATTTTTTTTTTTGGGTTCATTCTGCAACTAGGATCTTCTTGGAGCTGTTGACAAGATTAATTCAAGCCTAAGCAAGAAATCCAATGGATGCAGCTACTTCCACCAAGATGAAATTCCCTCATTTGAATTAGGTAGTCTTGATGTACCATCCTTGCTCTTTTTTTTTTTTTAATTCGCTGACCAAAAACAAGCTTTTTGTGATTCGACCAATGCCAAATAGCAATTTGTTGCTTGTGATTTATTCTCATGAAAAGATCTCTCTTTGCCATTGTTTAATTACGCATGACCTCAAATGTGCTGCTGTCTGTTTATCAGGTCCTAAAACAAGATCATATTTGCTACTTTTAGTGCGCATGAACCGATTGGTTGTTGAGACGATTGATGGTATATTATCGTACAGAGTATTGTAGATACGAGATCCAATTGAGAACTGTTTTTCATCTCCTATTTCACTTTTTCGTTGTCATTCATATTCCAAGAAGCACGGAGCCGGAAAACGAACACAGCAAATAAATATATAGTGAGCCATTGTTTTAAGTGTTAGAGCATCCTGTATTTTCATAATTCTATCTATGTTCTATTGTATTTGATTTGAGGCTATGATATCCACATTTTATCCAAGGAGTGTCAACATAAGAATGTGTCTACAGATATCCTCTTGTGAAATGTGTCTGACTCAAATTCTGTTAAAACGCAAATATTTGAGAAGGGATGAATTGGTACAAGCCAGATGCTCGGAGAAAGTATAAAATTACAACTAGTTTAATATATTATATATTTCAAGGGAGGACAACCGCCGAGGTTAGCAATTTTATTTGTTTTACTATAAAGTTTACACTCACGATTAAAATTATAATATGACATTGATTTTTTCTTACTTATAATAAAATAAAATCGTGATATCTAACATGAGTGATTATCTTCCTCATTTTATTATTAAAAATAACTAAAATTCTCAAATTATAGTTATTAACTGTCAAAGAATTACGTATTATGGAAGTACCGAAGATGTAGTTGCTTAAAAAAAATAGTACTTAAAAGGTTAACTCGTTTATTAAATCCCTGATGGTTGGCTCATGAATTACTTTTTCTATTTTCATTCTTTTTTATAGTTTAATACTCATATTAATAAAGAAATTTGATATTTTATATTCTATTTTCCCTTTATATGTCAATGATACCTTGAAAATGAATTTTAAATATATACAAGAATTGTCAAGTTATTATTTATTCCTACATCTAATAATCACATTAAACTGATTAATTTATTTAATAGAATAAAGTTTAGTATTTTTCTACTTTATAAGGTCAATTTGAACATTGAACTTTCCCCGCACAAATTGCTGGGACTGAATAGTTTTCTCTGATTCTTGTGTTTCTTCGTCATAATTTTGCTTTGTGGATTATGAATTGTTAATTTATCACAAAATAAGAATAGTTGGTTGAAGTAATTTTGTTAAGTTATTAGCTTGGCGAGCGGTGGGATCGGAGATACACGTTAGCTTCAGTGTCAATAACCTTGTATAGAGTCATAGAAGTCACCAACATTAATCAAATATGAGCCACTCACTATATCTAACTTCAAATTCTATTCACCCTATGAAAATGTATATATATCTAAAATTAGAAAATTTCTAATCACATGATTTTCAACTACAAGATGTAAATCTAACATAATCAAAATAATTATATTCATAATATTCGCTCATTAGATGTATTATTAAGTGAGAAATCTATTATTTCATCGACAAGGAAATATCCATTATTAAGACTAAGTACGTGTATCCTAGCAATAAGTTGTATTTTATTTTTTGGTTACAAAGTACCTTAACCCAAACATCTATATTATATTGAAAAATAGTTTATATAAAACTCATTCTTTGTAAATCTCTTTCATTCCAAGTAACCTGTATGTCACTCTTATATTCAATTCCACAATTAACATATGTTATCGTCACACCAATAAGCTCAACATCATTATTTAATTAATTATAACTTTTTTCTTAACCTCAGAGATAACAACAAGCTTCTTTTCACTACGTTAAAAAATACTGTCTCATTTAAAGTCTTATCAAGAAAAAATCAGTGCACAAATCATGGTTAAGTAATAAAATTAAAGAGTATAATAATATGAATTGAAACCTTTGAGTTGATACACTGATTAATGCATTTATCACTATCATGATATAACTGCATATATATATATATGTTAAACATGCTATAGTATACCTTAAAAAATGTGAAGGGGCTCTCAAATGAAAATTATAATAATATAGTTTACCTTCATCAGATTTTTAAAGTCAAACTAGCTAACTAGGGAAGGTCTATTCTAATCATAATTTTGTACATAAAAAGTTTAATGGATCATGATGTTTGCACCATTGCTTTGATTACATATGTGCGCACATCTTTCCGGTTCCTACATATGGATTTGTCCACCTTCGACATATAAAATCTTCAACTGTTTGAGTAATTTATATAATAACTATTGATCTTCGTGCAAGATTTTAATGTGAAAAATGGTGCAAGCAAATAAGTTTCAGCAAAAATATTCCCTATAACGTGTAGTACAGAGTACATACAGAGAAATCTTAGCATCATACACTATAATTAGTGAGGAAGAACTTAGAGAACCTTCAGAACAATCAAGCTCACTAATAACTAGTGTGTCTACCCACATCAGTGTAGCTTAATTGGCAATATACGTTGAGTTTGTGAGAAAAGATTTTGGTTTGATTCTCACAGAACATATCTGTAGAAAGAGGTGAGAGACTTGGTATGATTAAGTCTCAGATTGAAGATTGGTTCCAAAGCCACCTAAAAAATCTAAGTTTGTGGGAATATTTCTGGGTTTTATTAGGAACCCAAAGTTTATGATCACTGTTAATACCACACATATATCTCTATATGCAATGTGTCTAAAACATAGCATAACCTAATTCAGCATTCAAATCCAACTCTATGAAACCTTTTTTGGCCTCAGCCAAGGCCCTCCTTGTTATCTCAAACTCAGCTTCTGCAGCTGCCAATTCTCCCCTCAACTTCTTCGTTTTAATCTCCAAAGTAACAACGTTGTCTTTCAGTTTATTCACCTCTTCTGTTTTCTCCAAATGAACTTTCATACCCAATGCAGATTGGACATAAGGCTCCAACCAAGACAATTGAAATCCTGAATGCTTAACAAGTTCCTCCCATAAGCCATGAAGGCGATTACATGCATCTTCATTCATATCCTTCACCTTATTTGTCTTAAGTAAATGTAGAACTTGACCTAAAGATGTGAATGCCCATAGTTTGAACCATCTAGAACTTTTCCTCTGGCTCCTTATCAGTGAAGGATGCCATATGCATGCCTCTTCCAATAGTGGAACAAAAGCTGCTTCTTCTTTCCCTAAACTCCCCAAATCTAGAAGGTCTTTTAGCGTCAAATCTGAACTTTGAACTTCTCCTTCTGTTTGACTAGACCCACAGGTTGTTGAACTAAGTGTCTCACTGTCATCTGATGTTTCTGTTTCCTTATCATCTTCCTGTTGTGTGGATTCTGAATTTCTTGTTCCTTGATCACCTAACTCAGAGTTGTTACTTGGTGTGATTTTGTTCAAATTGTGAGCTTCTAAGATGCCATGATCGGAGACACAAATATGAGCTTCAATGATGCATGTGTTGTTCACAAGATAGCCTTGACTCCAATCATAGAAGTCACTTAGTTTCACGAAAAATGAGCCCCAGCTACGATATCCACCATTGAACTTTTGCTGAGTCTCTGAAAATGTACAAATACAAATACTCATATAATGGTTCCACTTTGTAGTAATGTTAATTTCTACCACGCAATCATCAGAACAATTAGGATTGATATTACCATTTGTAACTGACTTATTGCCATCCAATTGATTAATCAGAGACAACTTGAAATACGTATTTCTGCTCCATCCATACGGTGGTAAAGAATCCGCAACCATCAAATACAATGAAAAATGATCAACATTTTTCAATAATGGATACAAACGAATTCGCCTGAAAGGCACTCAAAACGAATAACATAGTTAAGTTAATAATAAAATCTAAAAACTATAAAATAAAAAGTTCAAAACAAGATTTGTTTCTTTATAAAGCCTATAGCCATTAAAAAGTAAATAGCACCAAACTCTAGACTTCGAATCCATTTGACAGTACCATTTATAACCTCGGATTTGGAAGGTCTTGGATCGTAGTTTCTTGGTGTTCTGTTTAGAGAACTTTTCAATTTTCCACGTGAATGTCTCAAAAGCAATACTCGTCCCCTTCTGCTTGTCCATTGTAGTAGCCAGCTGCATCTATGCTGCCATTACACAAGGTAAACACACAAAGTAGTGAAGAAAACTGTTGAAGTGAAGATAGAAAACAATAAAAAGGGTTGACATATGACAAGACCAAAAACACAAAGAAGTGTGTGCACAAGTAAAAGTTCTAAACCATTGAAATTTTAAGTGGAATGTAAACACTTACATTGCAAACAAATATTTGATGACCAAAATTTGTTATGCATGTTGGAAGATGTCTATTGGCCGATGGTCCTCAAAGGGTCATCACCAATTTGGTTGGCACAATGGAAAGAGGTAAAAATAACGAAGCAGGTCATGGATTTGAGAACAGAGAATGATGCAGAGAAAAAAAGGGGAAGAAGTAGAATGGAGTCATGTAAGTTTAGTCAAGTCAACCATTTTTTCTTGAAAGGAAGGAAGCATGGTTTATACTTTGAAATTTCACACACATATAATTAATAGAGGGAAAGGACTGTTACTGTTTCCAATAATATACGCAAATGGGGACCAAAAGAAATCTCAGAGTCTACAACAACAAAAAACAACACCAATAAATAAGTATAGATTGAATAAAACAAAGTTTTGGCCGATTTTTTCTATCACCAAAACTGGAAAACTAATTTATATAGTTTTTATGTGGTTTATGATTCACATCTAATTTCTCTTACTAAAAAAAAATCAAATATCTAATATGCAATTATTTGAAGGAATACGTATAATTAATAATACAATTTTATAACAAAAATCTCTATATAAAATTGAATATATTTTGTAATTTGATATAAAAATTATATAAATGATTATTCGTGGATTAAAATAAAAATATACAAATTTTAGTGAATTGTATAATATATTATAAAAAAATTATATAGATTAAACAAATGTTTTATCTAAAAGTTAATTTAATATAATCAAATGTATTATCTTTTATATAAAAAATATAATTTACTATGAATGTTGTATAAATATTAACGTATGTCATACTAATTTTAATTATTAAGATATTATAAAATTATGACTAAACACTGTGAAAGTAATCAAGAGTGATATTGCAATGTTGATAATTTTTTTCATATAATTTTTTTTCATTCACTCTTTTCCTATGTTGATATTGAAAACGTTTAAATGTTCCTTTGATTCTTAACAAAGTTGAATAAACATTTTTAATTTGGAAATGATAAAATAATAATTCTTAAAAATATAATAGTAAAAATGAACATTTAAAAAAAATAACAAATTGAGACTTTTAAAAATATATATACATGTATTACAGTCAAATTTAATTTTTTTCTTTACTAATATCTTATTAAATTTATAATTTAGAAATATCATCATTTTATCAATATTTATCTAATTAGTACCATTTTTTTACATAGTTAAAATTTGATTCCTAGAAGACCGAATTTCAACCTTACCAATTAATATAATTTTTAAAATAAATTAATATTTATTAAATATAATAATTAAATATAAATATATTTATTTTATATAAAATAAATATATAAATATTATATATATATATTATTTTTATTTATATAATTATATGAAATAATTTTAATAAGTAAATAATATTTTTTTATTATAAATATATAAATATTTTTATTATTTTCATTATATTTGTATTATATTTATGAAAATATATTAATAATATAATTATATAAATAAAAAAATTTAAATATATATATAATATTTATATATTTATTGTATATAAAATATATATTTATATTTAATAATATTATTTTATTTTAAAAGTTATATTAATTAGTGAGATTGAAATTCGAATTCTTGAAAACTAAATTCTATCGGTGTATGTGAAAATGATACTAATCAAATAAAAATTAATAAAATAATGTTATTTTTAAATTATAAATTTAATAACATATTAGTTAGTAAATATTAATAGAATGGTAATTATTTTATTTTTAATGGACGCTAATATATACCGAGATAGCATTGAAACTTTTATCTCATTTTTTACAAAAATATTTGTATACTAATTTTTCTTATCTTAATATATATATATATATATATATATATATATATATATATATATATATATATATATATATATATATATATATATATGAATTCTTAGTTTTCCATAATATACATTATCTATAATATATACAAGTTAGTTTATTTTCTATATTTTAAATTTAAATAAATCAACTGTTGATAAAGTTTTTAGTTTTTTTTATTTAAACTAATGCTCATTCAATTGTTTCTTATTATAAATTTTATATATTTTTCTATGATATTATCTAGAGTTATCTCTCTTGTCTTTATGTAAATTTTATTGTATTGTAAGACGCTCATAAATCCATCGTCATAACACCATTAGTTTAAAAATATGTATAAATTATTATTATATGTTTTTTCCTAAATGTACTAGAACAAGTTTCAGTTAACTTCCTATTGAAATATAAATGTACTTATAGTTTTAAATTTATAATATTTATTACATAATAAAAATATTCTTTATATAATTATAATAATAATATATAAATAATTTATTTGATTACTCATTTATAATTAATACCAAATAAATATAATTTATAAATTGTCTATAAAAGTATAATTATCTTATTTACAAATCATCTAATTCTAGAAAATTTTTTTTCTTTAAGTATATGAGTGTCTTTATAGATGTCATTCCTTTTTTTTTTTTTTTTACTTGGTTTAATAGATCTTAAAGTGACAATCATTCATATTAACTGTTTGATCTTATTTATTATTTTAAAGAATATTTAACACTTACCATGGGACAGATAAAACTTTCCTACCAAAATAAATGGGAGATTTTGATTTTTTAAAATCATCCTATCAATTTTCTATAAATAAAAGAATAATAGTTTTTATCGAAGAATAAATACAAAATTTTAATTTATATTTTTAAATTAATAGTATATCGATGATAATTTTTTATATCTTAAATAATTTGAAATCTCTAATAAGAGAAAAATGAAATCTCCCCCTTAACAATTGCCCACCCGGCCTCCGCCACCTGCAACAATCTCCCCCTCAGCAATTGTCCTACGAGGAATCCCACTTGGATTGTGACTTGGCCCATCTAGCCTGCGCCACGAGACAATTGTGCAACCCGCAACAATCTCCCCCTTAACAATTGCCCACCAGGAATCGAACTCGTGACCTTGGTTCTGATACCAATTGTTAGGATCAAGCGCTTACCACTAGGCCAAAAGCTATAACTTTTAGTCAGAGCGCAACTCTTTTTACTTAAGAGTAACAACCCAAGCGCCACGATTCGATTGTGACTCGGCCCACCCGACCTCCGCCACAGGACAATTGATGATACCTACAACAATCTCCCCTTCAGCAATTGTCCTACGAGGAATCTCACTTGGATTGTGACTTGGCCCATCTAGCCTGCGCCACCGATTATGACTTGGCCCACCTGGCTCGCGTCACGGGACAATTGTGCAACTTGCAACAATTCCTTCGGGAAACAAAAAATTATACCTCTCTCTTATTCCATTTTCAATAATTCATTATCATGACAAAAATGAGATACAAATGATAAAATTTGATAAATGAAATATTTAAGATTAAACAAAGGAAAAAGATACCTAGGTACGCTAGTTATAATTATAAATTTGATAGTATTTTCATATATATATATATATATATATATATATATATATATATATATATATGGATTGTTCATAATGTAACAAAAAATATGGTATTTGATTTTAATAAGATCATGATGAAGAAAACAAATTATGTTATTATTTTTAAAATGATATTATGTTTGAACTCATTATGGACTTCTCATTATAAAGTCATATTAAGGAGAAAGAGATAATATAGTAGTACATGGAAGGGAGCCTGTCGATTGAATGACATGTAACCGCCATGACTCTTGTTATAGCTGTAGCTTTAATTATGAATAATGATAGAGCCAATTTATGTAAGGTCCTTTAATGCGCATTATGACTTAAGTATTAAATTATAGAATCGTATGACATCACATGAGTCAAGTGGGAGAATGTTAGAATTAATTTAATTAATTCATTCCATTATGTGACTCATGTGAAATATAATAATGGGCCCAAATGTGATTTAATAAAATATGAGGACCTAATGGTTATTATGTGAAGTCAGAATAAAATAAAGATAAAATAAAATATTAACTTACAGTAACCAACTTGATCGACGTTGGTTAATAAAAGGGATTAGGGTTCTGTCTCTGTCCATAAGGTTTTTTCATGGTAAACCATCAAGAAAGCGAAGCATGAGAAGAGAAAGAAAGGCAAAGAGATAGATTGGGAAAAGGAGATAGGAGAACGAAAAGATCAAAGAAAAGATTCTCATGGATCAAGGTTAGTCTTCTTACTATGATTCATGTATTGATGTATGTAAAATTGTGAAAATCAATAATCTAAAGATCCTGTAGAGTAGTGTTCTATAATGAATTAAGAACGTATGAAAACTACATAATGTCTTACATGTGGTATCAGAGCCAGGTTATTAGATTTATGATTTTCCTTGTATGAAAGTTTTCCCAAATATTAAGTTTTTCCCAAATTAAGATAAACCCTAATTATGAATTTAGGGATTTCTTTATCAGATTAGTATGAACCCTAATTTATTCCCAAATTTATTTTTCTCAAAATTAAATAAAGGAATAAACCCTAATTATGTTTTCAAGTTCAAATTGAAACCAATTTTATAGCCCCTATGCGTGAATGAACCCGTAATTGATTTTAATTGAAAAGATAAATGACGTGATAGGGTTAGGGTGAATAATGTATGAAATTAGTTTTATTGTATGTTATAATTATGATGGAAGAATGATAAATAGTAAAGTTGATAAACTTTGCGCGTAGAGAGCACGTGTTAAACACACATGTTTCATATATTATATTATTTATAATATTATTTTTTATGTACATATTGGTGACTGGTGACTGCTGAAACCATTTTGTCCCTATATTATTTTGTCCTCATATTATTTGTACATTATTTTGTACGTATATTTTTTTTATGTGGTTGAAGGATAATTAAAGAGTTATTTTTTATGTTAAGGTGAGTTGTATAATATACTCGAATCTTGTAAAGCTTTGTTAAGGATACTTGAAAGCTTTGTTAAGGGTACTTGAAAGCTTTGTCAAGAGTACTTGAAAGCTTTGTCAAGAGTACTTGAAAGCTTTGTTAATGTACTTGTGAAACTTTGTTAATGTACCTATAATGTAAACATTGATAAATGAATGAATTTTGTTTTGCAAACTGAATTGTATTGTTTCCATTGTGTTTAAATTACTCATAAAAATTTTGAAGTTTTGAATGAATGACAATTTCACTTTTACGTGAAATGCAAATAAAGGTCTTGGATTCAAAATCAATCTTAGGATGAAAATTGAAATTATGAGTTTCAATTTTATTTATGGCACATAATATTTTATTATGTGAATAATGTACATATTTATTAAAATTAATAAAAAAAGTGCTATGAATGGTTAATAACAATTAAAGATATTATTTATTTGAAATTAAGCATGATAAATTTTGTTAGTCACCAAAGTGGCCAAAATTTTAAGGTTATTTTGATTTCAAATTATTAATGATTTTATTTCAATTACCCATAGTATGAACGCTAAAATTATGAATATTTGATTTATGGGTTAATTGAAGTTCATTATTATAAAACATTTCAGGATCACCCAAAGATTGATTAATTGTTATTATAATTAATGAGCATGAATGTAGATAATTTTATGTGCATCACTAGTTTTATTTATATACCCAAAGGTGTTAGGTGATTCTAGTTGATGCATATTTTAATTATCATTAATGTTATAAAATGATTAGCGTAATTATGTTTGTGTATTGGTGGATCTCCCAAAGGAGAACATTAGTATGCGAGAGAATGGTAATTTATGGTTGAATCTGTATATATGTTTAATTTTATGACTCAAAGTATTAATGTTAGGCATGTGTTAATTGCAGATGTCATTTCTGTAGCTCGCATTCGCTATCTTCGTCATGTTCCAGTCTTTAATGGGTTAAATTTCCCTAACTGGAGTGAACAAGTCCAATTTCACTTAGGTGTGTTGGATCTTGATTTGACTTTCCAAGTTGAAAAACCAGTTGCTATCACTAATGCCGAGTAGTAATGAAGAGAAAACTCATTATAGAGCTTGGGAAAGATCAAACGAGACTTAGCCTTATGTTTATGCGAATGAGTGTAGCAAGCAATATTAAGTCTCGCTCTTCCAAAAGCGAGGATGCGAAAGAGTTTATGAAATTTGTGGAAGAGCGCTCTCAAGCTGCCGACAAATCCCTCAGCTGGGACATTGATGAGTACGTTGACCACCATGAAGTTTGATGGTTCTCGTAGTATGCATGAACACGTAATCGAAATGACAAATATCGCAGCAAGACTCAAGTCTCTTGGAATGGCAGTGGAAGAAAATTTTATTGTGCAGTTCATTTTGAACTCGTTACCACCTGAGTATGGTCCGTTTCAGATGAACTATAACACCATGAAAGACAAATGGAATGTGTATGAATTGTCCAGTATGTTAGTCTAGGAGGAGACCAGACTCAAGAACCTAGGAAGCCACTCTATTCATTACGTGAAAAATCAAGGAGCTAAAAAGAAAGTTGTTAAGAAACATGGAAAGGGTAAATGACCATTAAAGATTAACGAGTCCTCTACTAACATTCAGAAGAAAAATGACAAATGTCATTTCGGCAGGAAGTCTGGACATTTTCAAAAGGACTGTTTAAAGCGTAAAGCTTGGTTCGAAAAGAAAGGTGAGCATAGTGCTTACGTATGTTTTGAATCAAATTTAACTGAGGTTCCCCATAATACTTGGTGGATTGATTCTGGATGTACAACTCATGTTTCTAATGTGATGCAGGGATTCCTTTCAACCCGAACCATAAACCCAAATGAGAAGTTCGTCTTCATGGGGAATAAAGTCAAGGTTCCAGTGGAAGCTGTCGGGACTTATCGTTTAATCCTTGACACTGGATATCACTTAGACCTTATGGATACTTTTTATGTACCTAGTATCACTAGAAATTTAGTTTCTTTGTCTAAGCTTGATGTTGCTGGATACTCTTTTAAGTTTGGGAATAGTTGTTTCAGTTTATTTAAGCATACATGTATGATTGGAACTGGTACACTTTATGATGGTTTATATAAATTGAATTTGGATAATTTATATGCTGAAACTCTCATGACCTTGCATCATAATGTTGGCACTAAACGTAGTTTGGTGGATAAAAGATCTGCTTATTTGTGGCATAAGCGTTTGGGACATATTTCCAAAGAAAGAATGAAAAGATTAGTAAAG